ACAAATAGTTTAATATGAATACTATTACGGTCCTCTTCATAAACCTTTTTTTTTTTATGGATTTTTTTTAGTGAAGACTTTTTATGCTGTTTTCATGAGTTTGTATAATGATTTGGGGTGAAAAATTATAGAGAATAAAAAATAATTACAATAGATAAAACCGTAGTTAATGCAAACAATATTTGGGTAAAACTATAATTACAAAAAAAGAGTTTAGGAATACTCAATGATATTGGTGTCTGCAGTCATGCTTAGGTTGCATTTCCTTCCCATGCCTACTCTATCCCTCCTAATTTAACTCGATTTCCTAGTTAATCAATCTGTATCTGATTCATACCTAGGCCATACCAGGTAAAAGTATCGGATACTTGGGCAATTATGGCAATATCTTAAAGAGAAGGGAAATGGAGGATTCAAACACAATACTCAGGAACAAGAAAGAAAATAATAATTAAGTATTTGTTTATCTTCTTTCTCACTAGGACTCCTGATTAGCATCCGATAGATGAATTCAATTTGAAGAGAATTTGTTGCAATTCTTATTCTTGGATGTGGTAAAGTGTGCAATTGAGGCTTTGAGGGCTCTCACCTCTATCTCTATTTTTTTAGTTTAACGGTTAAGGGTGTTTGATTCAACTTACGCGCATTTCGATTATTTTTTTTTTGTCTTGTTAAAAGTATGTCATACATCTCAGAATTATAATATTTATGAGGGATAAAACCCTTCTATCTTTGTCTCTCATCTTATTGTTCTTGTAAGCAAATGAAGAAATCTAATTCTTATTTTTGCTATAAGAGATAGAGTAAGACTTTCTTATAGTTATCTCCTCTTTATCCGAAGAAGACAATCTCGTGAAAACAACGAAGACAATCATAACATTGTCTTATCCCCCACTCCATGGTCATAGCAAAGACCATCTAACTGTTCACATACCTCCTTTAATAAGGTTGCATCCCCTTGTATTAAATTCAAGGGCAATCAAAGGGCCCTAAGTTTTTGGGTAGTATATTAATTGGTTGGTTAAGGCCCTTCATAGGGTTAATAAATACAAATCAACATTGACAATAAAAATATTTTGGATGTAATGATAGCTCAAAATAATAAAGAGACGAACTGTAAATTTAAATGTTTTAAATTTAAATTTTTAACAACCCTTTGTGATCAGATTATAAAAAAATTATCCCCTCAAGAATATCATGAATCTTGGTATGAATAATTTGTCTTTGACCGGATCATAAAGATGATTAGTCAAAATGCGTATAAACTAGTCTGATCATTCTTAATCGTTGCATTAAAAAATTAAAAAAAAAATTAAATATCTTAGTTTGGTTGATAAAATGTAGACATGAAATTTTAAGAGGAGATAGAAATGAATAAATTTTAAATAGTAATTTTTTATTTTTAGTTATATAAATTAAATTTAAAATAAAAAGAGATAAAATAAGAGAGTGATAAAGGAGAGAAAATAGATCTAGATGTACGTTGGTTGGGTGATTTAAAAGATTGATGGTTGTGCATAAAAATAATAGTATTTTGAAAAAAAAATATCTTCAGATGAATTTTATATGATTGGCCATTTTCCTTCTATATTTATACAGTTGTGGACACGTGTCCTCGTTGGTGATGTCATCACGTTGACCAAACACTCACGGGATGGACGCATCGATTGGCACGTGTCGCAATTTTAGCAGCTGAAAGGATTAAAAAAGAGTACTTATCCACTTAGAGGATCATTGGCCAAAATGTGTACGGCCCATATGACTAGGCAAGGAGAGCCCACAATATATAGTTTTTGGTTAGTCAGGGCCCATTTAATAGGGGAAATGAGGGCCCAGCGTTGTCATGCATAATTAAAGGGGTGTCCGTGTAATTACTTGAAAGCATGAACTCGAAAGAAAATTTTTTTTAATTAATTTGAATAACTTTTTAGAATTTTTTTACAGATTTTAAATACCCTCTCGGCAGTAATTTCCTTTGAAACATATAGAGGTAGCTACAGTGATAATAATGAAGAATTGTAAATTTAAATATTATGAATTCGAATTTTTATAATTTTTTGAAATTAGATAGGAAAGAATTATCCTCATGAATAGTCTAGTTTCGGTGTGAATGGTCTACCTTTGATCAGACCAAAGAGAGAATTAGTCGAAATACGCGTAAATTGATTTAAACATCTCTCACCATTAAACTAAAAAAAAAAAATTCCCTTTGGACAAAATTTCAAACAATTGATCTTTTGGATCTCACTAAGATTTTTATGCCCAGGACGTGCGTCCTACTTAAATAGCTTCTAGACGTGTGTGTGGTTGGCACGACGAGAATTGGCTCTATTGTGCAAGCTTTGGTAGCATTGCAAAAAATTATGCTCGTTTCTTTCTTATTCCAACAGTAGATAGATTGGTCGGCAAGGAGATATGAATATCTTTAATTTATATAAAAATAATAATGTTGTGGGTGTGGATTTGCAGAAAAAGGATAGTTGCATATTGTAGCAAGTATACGAGGTGCGTTCCGGACATCATGGTATTGAATGGAGAGTTAGAACAGTTTTTAACATAAAATACTCAAGTTATACACCCTTTTTAATAATATAAGTTTTTAAAATAAATAAATGTTTAATTATAATATCAAAAAAACAGATTTTGTATTGCCATCATCTTACTAGACCCAAAATCTTACTTAGAAAGCGTATTTGAAATATAAATATATAATAACTTAGGCGAGGAACTTTAATTGACAATGCGTTTTATTGTCAGCAAGCGGTGGCCGACAAGGACCTAGCAAGCCGAAATGTTGATTGCTAAGAAGTCTTTTCTTAACTCGATCCAAGCTTGACTTAGCTCAAGCAATGCCCAAAGACTCCCATGTATTTCTTGACTTTTGGTAGATAAAGCCAACCCAACCGGCGATTCCCATCTTCTTGAATTGGGAGACTTCCAATAATAATCTTTTGGAATAAATAATCTATTATTTAAAAAAAAAAAAGAGGTGATAGAAAATACTTTTCACGTGGAAATCACAATAAATAACGTTACTGTGAGGAAACTTTAGGTGTCTAGTTGGGAAAAGTAAAGTTGTGGAAAAAGTGGGTCTAAATGAGTGTATGATGCCCAAATGTTAAGGTCCATGTGTTGATAGACTATGAAAAAGCTTAATGTGCACGTAAAGATCCCCAAGACTGACGGAAGAAAAAAATAGTTTGAAGCTTCCTACACGTCAAAAATTGAAATTCTCATTTTGTCCCCAAAAGATATAAAAATTTTAGTTTGTCGTTTGAATGATTAATTTTTTTTATATTATCCTCTCAAAAAATAAAAAACGTTGTGGTCCACCGTCTTATTTTTATTTGATTATTTATCTATTTTATTATTCTTGATTGGTTAAAAAATTAATTATTTAGGGACAAATTAAAATTTTTTGTATCTTTCAAGGGTAAAAAATGGAATTTACCCCCTAAAAAATCCATATATACTTTGTAAAAGTCAATGTTTGCGGGCGCACACATAAAATAAAAATTCTTTGCATTTTGGGGGAAACTTTTGTCTATGAAATATGATGCCCCCATAGAGTAGATTCCCCTTTCGTGACTCCAAAAAAGTTGGTTCTGAATTTGCGAATAATTCCAACCTAACCCTACCTTTATGCCAAATTCGGGATATAACTTATCTTGCATAGTTTGCGTCTGAGTATAATGTATATGAAGTGTAGGTGTTGTGTGATGTGGTGGAGACGTCTACGTTTCGGTTGAGGAGAGGTGGAGGGTAGGTGGGAGGATGGAAGAGGAGGAAGAACACGTGGGCGGGCGGACGGGCCCGACGGTTGGGCATTGGAAAATATTATTTTAATTACAAAATATAACGAAATTAGATTGAGATCCACGTTAAGTCATGCTAAAAGTTTAGGGGTTTAATTGAGATAAAAAATATATGGTTAATAACACTTATAATCTCTAAAATATGTATTTTTTATTAATTTAATTCTCATTGTATTAATTTTATCAATTTAGTTCATATCATTTGACAAAATAATCACATATTGGACATGTGATATAATCTAAAAGAACAATACGTGGTCACTTTAATACAAATATTTAACGCATTGTCTGATTAAGGACCAAAGTGACACAGATTAAATACTTTAAGAACTAAATTAACAAAATTGATATAATAAGGATTAAACTGATAATAAATGTATATTTTAAAGATTAAAAGTGTTATTAAACCTAAAATATATATTAATGATTAAATAGTTCAAGGTGTTAATTGAGATAAATAATAGTTTAATGATTGAATTAGAATTCAAATATTTAGTTCAAATGCTCGATAATTGATATCCAATAGATTTCCCTTCCATCACTCGAAAAGTTAGCTTGATTTGCCAAACGTCCCAACCTAACCTCACCTTTTTCGCTAAATGCATAATATCCGTAAAGCCTTGGCGACCAATGGACTTTGGGCCATGTAAACCCAAAGACAGGCCCAAACGTTCGTCTGCTAATTCAAGGTAAATCATTTGTCATGTATAGGTGAAAAATCTCCTAACACAAAATAGATCTTTCGTCAATTTGATATATCTATATAATAAAATAATTTTTACTTTTCACAGTTTTAAATTTACTTTACAATTAATTTAAAAATTAATATTATCACCCTAAATTTAATAAAAAAAATAGGGTCCTAAGATTGTGTTTAAATAACTTTTTAAAAATTCTTCTAAGAATTATTACTTTTCCTAATTACTTCAAAAAAAAAAAATTAGTGTTTGGTACTACCCCACCCCTACCTCCACCACCGCCATCACCACAACCACCATTGTTGTCGCCACCGCCACCGCCATCATAGCCATCGCCACTACCACTGCTGCCGCCACCGCTACCGCCCATCAACTCTCACCTCCACTATAACCGATATTTAAATTCATTTATTTCTATTCTATGTTTGTAATTTAATTTTGGATATAAATATAAATATGTTTATTGTTTGTCATTTTTTATTACTCAATAATTAGTTATTTAACAAAAATCGATGCAAACTATATTGAAAAGATCTAAATCCAACACTCTGCACCCAAAGAAAAAATAACATGATGTAAGGATGGCAGCAAGAAGAGCTTGACTCAGTATTGGGCATGACTTCGAGGCTAATGTTCGACTATTCTGCTAGGCCTTATGAGGGACCCTTGCAAGTCCGAAAGGCTATTCGAGTTTCAGTGCCCCACTCAAGAAGACTAATCTGGCCAATGCCACCAACCAAGAAACGGAATCTAAACAGATGCAAATTGAAGGTTGAGTCCGACAGAGACCCATCTCATTGAAACCAAGCTGTCACTGAGAGAGAGAGTAGTCTTTACCCTCCACCAAAACCATTGTCATCCGAAACTACACGGTGCCCAGAGTACGCATCACCTTCATAGTATCAGCTGCACCAACCAATGCCATTTTCATGATGTATATAATGCCTCAGTCCCTAGCAGCCCAACCCAGCACATTTTTGTTGGGTACAACCCTTCCCAACTCATTCTCTACATAACTTTCTTTCTCGAATGAACAATTTTACAATAGGGCAGAGATTAACTCTGCATAAGGATGCAAATGACTATTGGAGGGTAAATAGCACTTTAGACACGGCACATATAAGTCTTAATTCGACCAAAAGAAGTTGGAAACAACCCTTGTACCCAAAGCACCATCACTCCTTTCATCCAGTACCCAAGAGGAACTTAAAAAGGAAAACATAATACATACTTCAACCGTTGCTGAACAGTTACTTGATGGTAATGTAGCGATTTGTACCATGTTTAGCCCAGTAGTTCTTTAGATCCAGCGGAACCAACAGGTCATGATCATCCGCAGCCAACCGACTAAGCAATCTCGAGAAAACGCTTCCACTCATCTTCCGACCACCCATACGTGCATGGCGTTTGTTTGGCATTTGTGGTAGCGGATAGATTGAAATGTATGTGGTGCAACATGACGATTGCCAGCCCCCATTCCCCCATTTGTAACACTGCCTAGGTACTCCAGTGCATGAGCAAACCGGAACTGGCATGGAAGTCTCATCAAAATTGATCTGGCTCATCAAACCAATATCCTGAGCGTCCCACTCAGCCTTCGATCCATCAGCCGTGACATGCCTATTTAAATCCTCAGCTACTTTCTTTGCCTTACGTGATGTTTTTGGTGACTTAGATGCAACAGTATTTTTAACCTTTGCCTGTTTTGCTTGACGGGACCTAGCAGCTTCGGATGAAATGGCTGTTATAGGGAAGGCCTCAGTCACATGCACTTCCCTTGTGTCGTAAGCAGCCTGAGCATTGTTGACAGGCTGGTTTAGATGGTGGTGCATATGCTTTGTTCCACGGATTCCACCATCCAATGCACTGTTCATGGCATTTTCCTGGAATTGAAGGGCAGCAATGGCGTTGTCTCGTTCTCTTAGGGCATTATCCCGCTCAGAAATTGCCGCATCTCGCTGCTGGATTGCCGCATCTCGATCATCTAAGGCTGCCTGCTTTTCCGACTGCGCTCTATCCCGCTCTTCAACGGCAGCATCCCTATCAGCATAGATCATGCTGATCTTCGTATTCATCAAAAAGGCATTTTGTTCCTTCACCGGATACTGGGGCACCACATCCCACTGCAACAACTAAATGAAATGTCAGCAAACTATACGGTGTTCTATTCAAAGGGATCCACAAGGACCACAACTGAAAACTCAAATCAAAATAGAGAATTGTCCAAGATTAAATACTATTTTAGATCTTTATATGATTTGTTTTCCTTGTTTTCACGCAAACAAAAGCAATCACTTCTTATTACCGGAATGTGAGCCCCTTTATAGTAATCTGTCCTATGTCTCCTATCTCGTTGGCCACCGTCGTCCATCTTATTTTCACGTAGTTGGCAGTAAAGGCAGAGATTGGGTTTTAGCTCCTCCAACTTCAAATGTCTAGTAAATCTGGCATCAACTAATTTTTCACCAGCCTCCTGCATTTGAAAAAGAAAACCAAATTAACATTGACGTCAAGTAACAAGAGGCAATGGAGAAAAGGACCAATGCTGTTTTGGAGAGACCAAGTGTCAGAAACAAGTATGAATTCGTAGACCAGCAATTGTCCACAACAACAACCAGCCAACAGAAGAAGCCCCTGAAATAATATAACCATGCAATTCTTAAGTTGTAAGCAGAAATATGATTCACCTACCATGTCCATAAAGAAACAGAAAAAACTGCATTGTGACGAAGGAGCATCAACTAAACAGATACCAGTAATATATAAGTTGGTTTTGAAGCTTATAAATGAATAGAGAACATCACTTTTGTCACTGTCTGCTATAAACATCAGAGCATGTAGCAAAGAGATTTGAATGGTATCAGTCATCCTAATGAATTGCCCTAGCTTCTGGTTCACAAAGAAGGCAACAAGGGGGCACAACAGCAAAGAAAATTATAGAAGCAGTCGCCTGTCTGATTCATATTGTTGCACTCGCAAAGCTAATATGTGAAAAGGATGTCACTTTAGTGCAAACAGGTATCAATAATAAGTTTGAAAGCTAAAGACGAAGAACAAATTCCCACCCCAAAAACTGAGTTCCCGCTGAATTCGGAGCAACCTCAACTATCCATTCTTCTAATGCCCTCAAACTCGTACAATATGGATTTCTCTACTAAACAAATGCAAACTGAACGTGCAAGATCTGCAATATTTTCTTGGGCTTGAGTTTCCAGAAGGGCTAGTTGTCACTGGAAATGAAAGGCTCTCACAAAGACCATATACTGGTTACGTTTGGCAGCTGGAGTATGTTTGCATGTGGAGGGAAAGAAATGCAATGACTTTCTGCAATGAACATCAAGATGTGATTTCTGTTCAGCATGAATTTGTTGAGTCATATAGAGGTAAGCTCTCTTCTTTCTACAATGCCAGGATACAGGGAACCGTAGGCATGTCAGAAATCAATGGAGGCCACCCATGCATTCTGCTTCCACTTGACTTGGAGAGCTTTAAAGGTCTTGTGCATGAGAGCAAGTGTTAATGTTGGAACAACTGATTTTGTATGATGGTTAAAACAGGTCGCAGGAGTTACACTTAACATGCTTTATTTATAGTTTTATACTGCCAAACCAATAAAGCTTTTGTGTTGGAGTTTGCTAGTAGTACTCAGCTAAAAACCCAGAGCAATATACAACCCCAGGCTTTTGGTTTTGATATTGGTAGTAGTTAACTTGGTGTGCTGGGCTGGGGATGCCCACTAGTAGTATACTTTGAGGCTGCCCTTTCCTTTCCTTATACTGTTATTTTCCTTCATGAATAAACTCTTTAACTTCCCAGAGGAGGAAAAAATTGCTGTTCTTTACAGTCTCATGATATAAGTGTTTCCATGTCAATATATTCCTCGGACTGTCACCAACTCACAATCACAATGTTTACACCATAATTTCAAATTTCATGAAAATGCTAGAGTATTCAAATGTACCAATAGATTTCCAGGTCAAATCACTGGCACTGAGCTGGCACTACAACTTCAGTTCCGATGGAATGACAAACTTTACTCCCACCAAAATTAAGCACCATGTTAAGAATGATTGCAACAAAGAAAAGCAAGAGCTAAAATAGTGTATAAATTCTCAAACAATAAAATAAAAATACACAAACACACAGTTTAAAACCAAAAACGAACTAACAAGCACATTGAAGCACGAAATTAAACAACTTGGTGATTGGCATTGGTTCTCCTCAATCATAATCCAGCTGAAGATAAAGATATACAGCCTTTTTGACACATAGACTGATTTAGACTGATTCAAAGCAATTCTAAAACAGATAAAGGCAAAACATTTCCTTTCCGAAACAATGTAATGCAACACAGATCAGATGATAAACCAGAGGCGAACGTGTGGATCAAAATTGACCTGCAATTGAGAACCGCACACAAAACTACAAACTATGAAGTCCATAAAAAAGCTAGGGCTTTGAGCAGTCAATCAAATAACACTATGGAGATGTATCGATAATAGAACACATCAAGCAGATTTACGAAACAGTAGTGAGAAATCGAGAGTAGGACGATTAGAGAGGGAGCGAAAATGTAAGAGAAATCAGAAGAACTTACAGATGGTGATTGTGGAGCTGCCTAAGAATCGGCGTGAACTTGAATCGAAACGCATCGCTCTGAAAAAATTTGGTTGAACAGCTTCGAGAGTCGGGGAGAGAGAGGGGTAGTGTTTTCTCTCGGTTTTCTTGGATTGGTCTTCGTTAAGGGTGTTCCCTCTGGCCAGGAAATTAGTCTTCAGTGTTGCTGCCTGATCCTTTGCGAAGAATTTTTGTATCCTACCGATAAGTGCGGTATTTTTACCTGATTTTTTACGGTCAGATAGGAAATCTAATAAATACTTTTACAACTATTAATTTTTAAATTATTTTAATAATTTAATTAAATAATATGTACTAATTTAACAATACAATAAATTAATAACACTAAAATCTAAAATAACTATAACAACAATTATAATAATATAAAAAAAGAGTTAATTGTAAGTTACACTCCAAAAAGTAGTTGGAATCTCAATTTAGACCCCCAAAAATTAAAAATCTCAATTTACACCCTCAAAAATAGAAATTTGTATCAATGTGCACCCTCAAAGATTAAAAATCTCAATTTACACATTCAAAGATAAAAATTTGTATCAATGTGCACTCCTAAAGATAAAAAATCTCAATTTACACCCTCAAAAATAAAAATTTGTATCAATGTGTACCTAAAACTAAATTGATAAATTATTCCTAGATCCCCTCATGCTTGTCATGTCACTCAGTCATTTGGACCCTTTCACATTTAGAATATTTCTCCTACATCTTATAGCGTTTGTGCACGTGCAACATGTAACTCATTTTTGTTGATATATGTTAATATAATCGTTAAAAAATATGATTTTATCCTAATAAAAAATTATAAATTTATATTACTTTTTTTTGTGGGTTTTATATACTCTAAAGTTCAAAATCAAACTTACCATTTGAATATCTAATAGAATGTAGATATTTATATAATATTTTTTATATTTAATGTAATATATTACTCAATGTGCAATCCTTTATTCTATTAGACATTCAAATGGTAAGCTTGATTTTGAACTTTAGAGTATATTAGATCCATAAAATAAAAGGTAATATAAAATTATAATTTTTTTATTAGGATAAAATCATATTTTTTAATTGTTATATTAACATATATCAACAAAAATGGATTACGTGATACACGTGAGATGTATGAGTAATATTCTAAATATGAAGGGGTCCAAATGATTAAGTGACAAGCATGAAGGGATGTAGGTTTAATTTATCAATTTTGTTTTAGGTGCACATTAATACAAATTTTTATATTTGAGGGTGCAAATTGAGAATTTTTATCTTTGAAGTGCACATTGATACAAATTTTTATCTTTGAGAGTGCAAATTAAGATTTTTGATTTTTGGGGGTGCACATTGATACAAATTTCTATTTTTGAGGGTGTAAATTGAAATTTTTGATCTTTGAGGGTGTAAATTGAGATTCGAACGATCTTTCAGGGTGCAATTTGTAATTAGTCCTATAAAAAAACATGAACATCAATCCATCATAATTATTACACAAATACAATAACAATTATTTTAAATTTAAACCATATGAAACACATTAAAATCATAATTGTTTCAATAAATTACTAATTCACTACAAATCATATAAACTACATAAAAAATAAATCCATGTTTTCGCAACTCAAACATCCACAACAATAATAATTTTATAATATAAATTATACTACACTAATATTTTTATAATTACTAAAAAAATTTAAAAAATTTGAATATATATTTTGTGGGTAAGGTAAGATAAGAATACATAAGTTGATGGGTATTCTGCATTCTTACCTGATTTAATCAGAATATCAAAAATTCTTCTACATTTCTATTTAATTTTTACGGCTAGCTGTTCAGTAGAATAAAATAAAGTTGGATAGGAAAAAAAAATTACAACCAATGAGAAATTTGAACATCCCTAATCTCCGTAGTGCTATGTATCTCATTTTCTCTTTACATCTGCTCTAATTTTGCTTCTTTTTAACTTTTCAAGATTTCTTTTGCTGTTATTTTTTATAGTGAGTTTGTCATAAATGGCAACAGGATTTCTTTTCCATTAAAGTCCTTCTTCTTTTTTTTTCTTTTTTTTTTTTTATAAAAAAGAATAAGCAATCCACAGGAAACAAATCATAACCACATCCCCTAATTTAGGTTATGATATGATGATATCACGTCATTACTTTACTAATTCCTGTTATTATCAATTAATTATGTGAAATTCACATCAATTAAGTGGACTTTACCATTTCTTTATTTATTTTTTGTGGTTCAAACCTCACATGTGTGCACGTCAGTTAATGCGTACCTCGACTAATTTTCTTTCCGATTCAGTCAAAAGTAAGTCATCCACTCTGAAATTATGATATTTATAAAAAATAAATTCATCATGAAATGGGCCTAAAGAGAATAACATTCAAATTCATGACGAATAAATTTACAATTCATTCGTATTACGCTCGTGGATTTTACCATTTCAATAACTACTCATAAACCCTACATCCAAAGTATTAAGCGTAACAATGGCACCAAACTAATAGTATCACTTAGTATAACCATCTACTATAAAGTGAACAAATAGACATGTGAGCTTCATAAAATTCAATAATCATCATTCATCTAGTATATAATTATATAAAAGGAAAAAAAATATTGTTTGAATCTGGTTAACATAATTTTAGATTAAAATTGAACTCTATTTAATATTAGAACTCACAAATAATTTAATAGTTGTATTGAATTAAGTCTCTAATTAGGTACCCAAATTAAGTTTCCATAACATTGCTAGTAAAAGTGTAGGGCCTATTTTATTTAGCTTTCTTATTGGACCGTTACATTAAATATTTACTCTTTATTGGAATAATTTTGTAAGCATGTCAATGTCGTGGAGGTAGGCCTGTCAATGGATCAAATTTGAATCGAATTTTGTGTCCCTCTAAATTTGAATTTGATTAAAAAATTCTATTATTGAATTCGACATCACCATTACACAAATTATTTTCTCCATTTATTGATACTTTCAAAACAATATACAGGTAGTTCATGTGGTAGCAAGAATGATCTACAAACGTGTACGTGCCTAAATTCGAATTTTGACAATTTTCTGAGGACATGCCATAAAATATTTATCTATCGGAGCCAAGCCTTAAATGATTTATTCATCGGAATTAATTGAAGTGTGCCTAACTTTAAAAAAAAAAGATTAATTTAAAAATGTCCCTTTCAAGTTTAGGTAATATTCAATCAACTCCCTCAAAGTTTGATACTTATAAATTAAGTATAGCCGTTAATTTTGAAATATTCATTTGCATATCACATAATCTCAAATTCTACGAAGAGACGAGATCACTCTTCACATTATTTTACCTTAGGAAAAAGAATGAAAAGTTTTTTGATGTGAGAATTTTTTGTTGAATTTAGGGTAATTTAATCTTTTCAATAAATCTAAGATAAATGTTACTTAATTTCCATTATTTTTTATTCTCTAAACTAATAATTTGAGGTAATAGAAAAATATACAAACTTTGAGGAGATAATTTGTTGAAATTCAAACCGGAGGAAGTTAATTGCAACTTGATCCAAATTTGAAATGGATATTTTGTAATTAACCCAGAAAAAAAACACACAGGTTCGTTAAACGCGAGCCGGCGTCGTTTTTATCAGATTCACATTTACGATTTCTTGAATCTCGACACTTCAAGCATGGTATATCTTACTCTGCCCGATTCTCTCTCTTCTCCCCTCTCTCTCTCTCTCTCTCGTGATAGCAATAAAGTCACCATAGTTTCATGGGCCATTTCTTCAGCCATCCCTATTCTCAACAACACCGACGATGGCGTCTGTCTAATTATCGATCAAAGGTAAGATTTATTTGGGAACAAGTTAAGGGTTTTACGACTTGTTCTGTATTGAAACAATGCAGCTAGGACTTGTTTCGCTGTTGAGAGCCGCATGGATCGCTGGGACTTTGCCTATACTCATCGCTTTAATACCTTCGCCTCGGCTTACTTGGTTCCACGATTTCTTGTTGGGATTTGCGAAGAGAGGGAAAATCATGCAATCTTCTTCGTATGTAAGTGATTACACAGACGTTTATGTGTAAGCGATCGTGTTTTGTAGAATTTTAAGTAGAGTGAGATTTGGGATTTGCTTTAATTAATTATCAAAGTTGCTGTAAAGTGGATGATCTGCTTATTATTAGTTTAAACGAGAATTCTGGAGTTGTAGATGATTCTGTTTAGTTAATCGAAACCCCTTCCCTAGCTTCTTCCAAAGCATACGACTTTTTGGATATAGATTATGATATTGCATAATGGATTTTATACATATCCCCACTGGTTTTCCAAATTGATCCGGTGGATAAATATAGTTCAGAATAATATTTGGATGATTCATACACAAAATCTCTTTCTTTTATCATACGACCATTCCATTTTGGGTGAAATTGATGGATTGTGGTTGGGGTTCAGGATCAGGTTTGATACTTGGATTGTTTGCTTATATGAATACAAGCGGGTATGTCTGGTTTAGGTATTAAGGGAGTAGATTGGATTAATTTAATCTGGTAATAATATAATACTAAATGAGGTTATAGCAATCCGATATTAATTTGAATTACTCTCAACCTGGTTAACTATTGTCATTTAACACCTAATATTAGGTAGTAATGAATACTATGTAGTAGGTGATATTATTTTTAACAAGTATTAAAAATGTAATGACTTTATTATCCTTGCAAACTTAGTGTCACACCTTCATATAAAAGTTACACATGATGCAAAGCTTCACCCTCAATATTTATTTTGTCGTTTTTAATTTAATACCATACACTATTACTTAATCCAAACATAAATTTGATATTATAATTATACATTTGTATAGTATTCTAAACTTGCTCTAAACTTGTTATACAATGATAAGATTTAAATAGTACTTTTGTTACACCATTTTATGGATTGAATGGGAACTAATTACCCAATCATATCTTTTATTTGTACTTAAACCAAACATTCCCTCAGTGTACCCTCTGGCTCCTTGTCTAGTTATTTCTCCATTTTATTTCTAATCATTTATCCTTCATAACAGTTCTTATTATTTGTTACTTTTTTAAAGTGATGAAAAAAATAATGTTTTTTTTTATGTTGAGGCATGTACATTTGAAGCAAATCCTCCTTTTAATTATTTCTTCATCTTATTCACAAGAAGCTTTTCCGAATCGTAATACGCATTATTCCATCATTTTGTTCTTTACCATTTATTACTGCGTCTCTGTCTGGTAGCATTTCTTGCCTCAAGTTCAGAAAAATTTACTCATTAGTTATTCTGTTCCATTGCAGAAATTCACTGTTCCTCAGAGATTCTTCTGTCATTTTTACATAGTGGCTGTCGTTTGGACAACGCTCTTGGTTGTTGCAACTTTGTTTTATGCGTATATAATGGCACCGCTGGTCTCTGAACCATTGCTTTATTCTACCATTACCAGTTTCTTGACTGGAGCTTCAAATAGGTTTTTCTTGCATAAATATCGTTCAACAACAGCAGAACAAAGATACAAAATTTGGCTTTCTGTGTTTGTTCTTTTGCTAATGGAAGCTCAAGTCTTGCGCCGCCTTATCGAGACTATATATGTATTTAAGTATAGCCCATCAGCTCGTATGCACATATTTGGTTATGTCACTGGCTTATTGTAAGTCTCTCTCTCTCTCTCGTTTGGTGAAGTGACTGAACCCCTCTGTTTGCCTCTATTCTGTACCAATTCGCTGCTGAAGTATACTCTTGCTTTATGACATAAACTACTTGATTATGATAAATTCATCATCTGTCTGGATACACATTGTCTATAAGCTTACGACAGCACGTATTAGGTTGGAGTTGACACTCATAAATTTTAATCTGGATTTCGGTGTTGTTGTACAGATAGACGAGCACTTTTTAACTGTTCTTTTCTGGTTTCTATATGTTGCTTATTAATGTGGTTATCATTATTTGCAAAATGGATGAATTGTGTTGTCAGTGAAAGATAATTTTTTTTTTTTTGGAGTGGGAGTGGGAGGGGGAGGGGACCTTGAACTCTTGACCTCAAGAAGGTAAACCTTTCAGAAGGTAAGAAGTACCAGTAGACCAAAGGTCCATTGTCAGTGAAAGATAATGCAAGTGCGAGGACAAGTAAAACAACAAGCAAAAAGAAAGCTTCCAATCTGTTATTCTCACTGTATCTTGTGATCGATTTTGTGGTACCTACTTTAAAGTGCTTTCTTAGTGTGGATTGAAATTTTTTTTAAGTGTTCTTTCTGTTTTCTGTTTGTTGCCTATCAATATGGTTATTCTTTATTTACTGGATATATAAATTGGATGAACTGTGTTGTCCATGAAAGAGACTGTAAATGGGAGGACAAGTAAAACTTTAAGCAAAAAGAAAGTTTCCAATCTGTTATTCTCAATGTATCTTGTGATCGATTTCTTCTGATTTTATAACATAGACATAATCATAACGTTTTTCGGTGCTAATAATTTTATATTATTTTAGAAGTTCCATACCAAATGTTTAGATGCTTCGGTTCTTTTTTAAACGTACTGTGTTCATCTATTCATTTTAAACGTATGCTGTAAACTTGATTAAAAAATAAGACGCCAATATTGTTGTGAAAGCACATAACTTGAAACAGTATTCCAGTTACAGCAATTGCAACTATGGTTAGCATTAAAGTGATATAATTTGCCAAACAATATGACAATTACTTAACTGTGCAGTGTGATGAGAATGCCATAACTTTTAGCCTTTATATTTCTGTTGATCATTCTGTTTATTTGTCTGCTTTAGAGGATGTTTTACTGATTCAAATCATCTTTCTGAGGTTAGTTTCTATACAGCAGCTCCACTATCGCTGTGCTCTACTTTTGCACCTGAGGTGTTCAAATTTACAGAAAATCTGGTTATGGAGTTCGTTGTTAAAGGAAAGAATCAGATGCCAGTCTCTGAATTTGATTTTTCGGGATTTGTTAACCATCTCCTGAGGCTTAGATGGTATGCATGGATTGGTGCAGCTATATTCTTTTGGGGTTGGATTCATCAGCGCCGTTGTCATGCAATTCTTGTAAGTTCCCATGTCGTTCTACCACGTGTTGTTTGGCTTTGATGTCAATTCATTGTGTTCATTTCCCTTCTTGGCCAGTTAAATTGCTGACATCGGTGTTGGTAGATAGTATTAATCCACCAAGTACTCATATTTTTTTCACAAAAATGTGATATTAGCATCAAAATGCAGGACTAACCAAAGTTGTTTATACTTGAAATGCAAATTTTTGTGTGGGACAAAAAATGCTAAATTATGTTGATTGACATGCTTACTGTTTGTGGGCTAAATATGAAAAAATGTGTTGGTTGAAGTTCCGCTATAATGGTGAAAATCTAAGACCTTGACATCAGTCATTATGGAGAAAGAATTCTGGTGCTTTGTTTCTTCAGTGATGAGTACACCTTTATGAACACTATATATGCAGTCTGTTTCAATGGATATCAGTATATTTCATCTTTGATTGAATGTAGTGTGCCTATATGAAGTTGCAGTTGAGACCAGCCTCTTTGTGTTTTGATGAATGAGGCCATGGCTTATCGTGAGCTAAACTAACTAGCATATGGTTTATTGTCATGCTCATATTGGGCTCTGGCAAGCTGTTGATTTGGAGTCTGAGCTTGTAGTTCAAACAGAATGATAGGGGAGTATTGACGTGCAACCAGGAGGTGTTTATACCAGTTTCTTTAATCTTAAAGCTTATGTAATTTTAATCAACTGTTGTAGCATTTCTACTATGACTCCTATCTGTCAAACACTCAAAAGCTTATGCATAGTTAGTTTGCAAGGCACATCTTCTTGCTTAGATTCCATGCTGAAAGAAGAAATGTTTTGATTGTGCAATTATGACAAACTCATTTCACCTGCTATGGAAATTTGGGAATAACTAGAATAGACTTACATTCACTGCAGCTTTCCCCTTTTCTTTATTCATATCCAACAGTCATAAATGCACATCTTGCAGCCTGCTGAATGTCTGTTACGTACTATTGTACCGTTGTCAAATATTTTATCTCTACCTTTTGACCAGGGATCATTGCGAGAGAGCACAGAACAAATTGAGGACTATGTAATTCCTGAGGGCGATTGGTTTGAATATGTTTCATCTCCACACTATTTGGCTGAGATTGTAACTCTCTCTCTCTCTCTCTCACACACACACACACACGTGTGATCCTCTGTCAACTTCCTTTAGTTTGACAATAACTCTGGATCTGAATATGCAATAGTATATGAAATATGTGTAATGTCAAAATCGAAGAGGATTCAGTCATTTTAATTAGTTTAATTTTTGCCAAGCAGTGTTTTTTTCATGGTCTTATTTGTTTCTTTGTTGATGGTGAAGGTTATATATGCTGGTCTTGTGGTTGCTAGTGGGGGGCTAGATCTCACAATCTGGTTACTTTTTGGATTTGTGGTAATTCTTATTCCCTTTTCAAGAACATTTGGAGAGTTCATGCTTCATTTTTCAATGCCATTTTTCTACTCCAAAATCTGAAGCTTTTTGTGTATGAGTGGCAGGTCACAAATCTTGTATTTGCAGCTGCAGAAACACACAGGTGGTATCTTCGCAAATTTGATAATTATCCTCCCAACCGATTTGCCATTATTCCATTTGTCTATTAATGCCTCTGGTTACTTATGGTTTACTGGCCAAAAAAACCCATGCGTGCCTTGGGATTGCGAGGATTTCACTGAAACATTGTCAACTTCCCTCTATCGGGATGAGCATTTTTTCTTGTAGGGTGGCTTTTGTTTTCCCAAATCTTTTTCCTTTGATCGGGTTATCAGGTTAAACATCGGAGGAGTTGACGTATATCTTTCAAAATAACTGCGTCCTAATCAATGTTATTGGAGCTACGTTACCTGTTCAAACCAAATTCATGCCTTTGTAACTTCTGTATTCTGGTGGTTATATAAGACATGGTCGTCTTTAATTGATCCGTGTATATTGTATTTTCATAAATTATTAGAGTGGCGTTGAATTACAAGGTTCTGTCCCTTGAGGTTCAGGAACATGGTATGGAGGCAAGAAAAGAATGCATAACCTATCTTCTTCCATCGATAATCCGATGCAGTCTCTTGTCCAGTCGCCATTCTCTCTAGTGAGGAGTAACTACTATAGACTTGTCTGTAGAAAGAAAAGTTTGGGTTTCAAGCTTTGCTACCGTTTGGGAGGGAAAAAATGTTGGGTGTAATTGTTATACCGTGTCTTCATGTTGACTTAGTATAAGAGTCTAATAATAAGATAATATATGAGCAAATAAATTTCATATATTCTATTAATTATTATGTCATGTCATTTAATAATCACTTACGTAAAATTTATCTTATCTATTTATAAGTTTATTATTAAATAATGACATTACGTGTCAATAATAACGTGCTACTGTCTTCGCCCCCCCCCCCCCAATACTTTCTCCTCGGAGTGAGGTAGAGCAGAAATTCCGGAGATCACTAGGTCTAAATGGAATGTATCTCCTTTTGTTCAAGGATTATACTCTATTGATACCTACACACTATGAAAAACACATGGTTTTCCATTCACAGGCCTCTTGAGTTTATAAAATGACATAAACGTATCATTGTCAGGTTTTCAAACGCCAGAACAACTAGAATGGATGTTGCACTGCACTTATGCTTTTACAGAACACATTAGGGTATCTCTTCACTGATTATCGACATACTTATGCATAGAGATCGATACCCCAGAATTTGGCGGGTTGATTGGTCCGATGGTTTCGGTCCATACTTTTTATAACGTCTATGTCCTCTTTGGTTAGCTCAAAGTCGAAAACTTTGAAATTCTCCGCCAGTCGCTCGAGTTTTGATGACTTTGGAATGACAACTGTGCTGCGTTGGATACCCCAGCGGAGAACAATCTGGGCCACAGTTTTCTTATATTTCTCGGCTAGACCCTGATGCCACAGAAGCAAAGACCAAAGTCAATTTTTTCACGAACCAGTACATAAAAGAAATTTCCTTTCTTTCATAATGAGAACGATAATTTAACAATACATGAAGAGAGGATATGTGAACTTACTTTGAGGACTGGGTCATCCAAACACGATACTGAACCAAACCATTCGGTGTTAGATACAGCACCCCCTAGAGGCGTGTGGGCTGTAACACAGATGCCATGCTTTTGACAGAATTTTACAAGAGAATCACGCTGGAAGTAAGGGTGTGTTTCTATCTGATTCACAGCGGGCTTCACTTTGGCATAAGCTAAGCAATCTCGGGTTAGGAAAATGTCGTAGTTGCTGCAGACACAGACACCGTTAGCAGAGTAAGACTACAAAACTGGTATAATATTTGTAATTCGAGAGTCATTTCCCGATAAAACAGGATTTAGGTCTTTGGCATGCACTTGCAATACATTCAGTTAGCACGAGCTTTGGGAACAGGCCAATGACAGAGTATGAAGACAATTTTTTATCAAAGCCAAGTGACAACAATTCAACTGGTGGTTATGGCAACCACATTTTGTCGTACATGCCAGCAGATACATGATGAATTTCACATTTTTCTTGCATAAAATTGTAGACATATGCTCAATGATGTAGGTAATATTTAACAGTACATGGCACGACAACAGGGAAAAAACTTTGTGCATAGCTACTTAAAGATGCAGAAAAGGACACACGGACATTAAACTTTGTAAGCATACCTGATCCCTATGCTGCGTACTAAGCCCAAGGAAACCAACTCTTCCATAGCATGCCAGGTAGATTCCAAGGATATGGTAGTGTCTATGTCTAGGACACCATCCTCTCCTAGTGCACTGGCAGTTGTACCAACTCCTGCATGCATATGGAATATGCACCAAAAAATTACCAAATCACATACGAAGAAAATGTCTGAAATACTCTCCAGGATAAAATATCAATTTGTGGGCCGACACTGAAACAAAGCTCTCAAAATTCGAGATTTCTGTAATTAGATATATCAGGAAGGGAGAAGGAACTCAATTTTATCTACACCATCATCCTGTATAATAATCAGAGTCTAAAGTATTCTACCAGAGGAATGATCTCTAGCATGCCACTGGAGTTTTTTTGCATGGAACTACTGATTCCATGAATCACGTGTAAGATGGTTGGAAGCCAACTGGTGTAAGAGTTCTTCTCCCAAGTTAAACAATTTTTCTCCGCCACGTTTTATGAAAGAAACTCTCCTAAACAGTCCAAATTTTCAAGCTGTGCACCAAATCACCAATGGGGTAAAGATCCGTTTGGTGTAAATTAATGATCTGACATTCATACTTTCCAAGCCCTCACATTATACTGGTACACAAAACATTGGATCATTTAAGGTCAGTACCCATTCTGGTTGCTATTAAACATGGAATTGACATGATATAAAATTAATCTTTTGCATTAGTTGAAAAAACAATAGCCCTGAAATTTGAACTCACATTTCATGTTTGTTAGTCCAAGTCTTTTTTATCACTGCACAGGGCAATAATCCCTCAACAATATTTTTAAGTCAAAACCCTCAAGTTCTGATCCCAATTAAGAAATACACAACAAAGAGATAAATATGTGATTGAGAGAGGACAGGCAGGAAGCACCTGTATGCTTTGTGGCTATAGGGAAGTGAACAAGGTACAGATCCAGATAATCTAGCTGAAGCTTCTTCAAACTGTCTTTACAGGCCTCAAGAACATGTCCATGGTCTGAATTCCAAAGCTGCAATTAGGATAGATAGTGAAAAACCATCTCTTCACCCGCAAAACAAAAGATTTAATCTAATGCTAAACTAACAAAGACTAGAAAACAAACACCCAAAAAATTCGAAAAGAAATAAAAGGATTGGCTATGACTAGCCTTGGTAGTGATGAAAAGATCCTTCCTCTTCACTAGCTCTGTCTTAAATGCATCTGCAAGTGCGTCCCCCACCTCTGCTTCATTCTGGTAATCAGCTGCAAGTAATGGAAATTTGTCAGACATCATCAACCCAAGAATACATTGAAAGTTTACACCTGGAGCCCCAGAAAAGGATACATATGAGAAAAGAATAAGCAATCTTGTGGATGGTGCACTGAGATATGTAACAATCTTCCCCAATGCACTGATAGAGAGTGTAAAACTCTCAATTTTTAAGGACTTCCTAACATTAACCAAATATAAAAGAAAAAATATTCCCTACAAAACAATGGATCCATTCCTGTGCAATAATACTTATGAAGTGGTCAAAAGATGGTCATGTGATAGATATGATTCCACTAAACCAACCAAGTTAATGTCAAGAATTAGCAACCAGAAATTGAACACCAGCTCAGTTTTGGATGTTATCCAATTCATTCCAAATCATACTACAAAAATGCGTCCTCATTGAAGGTTTCAAGACTGGTGTATTGCGATGACCTTCTCCTCTGTGTCTACATGAACGGAGTGCTCCTTAATATTTAACAAATATAGAACGTCAACATAAAAGGGGGATCACATTTTTGCATAAACATATCAAAGAATGAAATAAAATGATTCAAGATGGTTGCAAAAGGTGATCACCGAATGATCAACGTGGATGAATAAAAGATTCCGCACTTGGCATAAATTCCTAACTTTAAGATCTAGGTATGAGCTGGTGGTCAATTTCTATCCATAGGAGCCAATTAAAGGAACTCCATTGTTAAGAAATCAACCATTGCAATCCTGAAATACAATTATCTCAGCTTTTAGCTACTTGGCTGTGGAAGTTGAATCTCAAATTACATTCAATCTGCTAATACATCTCTAATGCTCAATTCAAGAGTTACAGTTAAATGGCACTAGTCATTTTTGTTGTCATGGAAGCCCTTCTTCTAACCCTCTATACTAACTTGCAATTAGCTAACTTTTTGTGCTTCTCCTAAAAAGATCCTTCAAGCATGAAACTGCTTTAAATTATCCAACTAAAACAAAATATTTATAACCTAAAATACAATTCTTGAATAGTCCCGAGACACCACATCACACCAAAGTCACAATAATAAATTAACCAAAATAGATAAAATAAAATAAAATAAAAAATCAAGCAATAAGTGAGTGATATAACATCAGTACTTAAGTCACATACCCACCTCACACCCGAATCAAAGTCCAAGATAGAAAGTAAGAAACACCCAAAAGCACAAAAAGACGCAGAGAGAGAGAGAGAGAGAGTACCAGCACAGTCGAAATGACGATAACCAATATTGATGGCATTGATGAGGAGGCTCTTTATGTCCTTGTCGTCCATACGCCAAACTCCGAGACCGATTATCGGCATATTGAAGCCACTGTTCAGTGTTATAGCCATTTTTGATTCTCTTCCTCACCAAAATCTTCTCTTTCTCCCTCTTCTTCTTCTTCTGCAACTACCGGGCCTGTAGTGTCGTTTGCGGCTAGCCACTGTCGTTTATAAACCTGTTCGCATCAATCATCCACTTGCAACGGCGTCGTACTGAAGCTTAGCCCATACCCAACAGCAGCCTCAGATGTTCATCTCACGGGTGCAACTTAGCTTGAGCAACCGATTTCAACCCGAAAAAATTAGGATTTGAATAAAATTTTTTAATATTTAGATTAAGTTTGAGTTAAAAAATCTCAACTCGAATTTAATTTGAATTGGCCTTGAGTTCAATCAAAACCTGACAAATTAAAAAAAAATTATATATATATATATATATATATATAAAATATTAACACTGATTTTTTATTTTTGGTGTGAAAATTGATAATCAATAATCGTGTACTGTCATGAATGAAATATATGGTTATGTTTTATAAATTTATAATTATTCCCCCTCTCTTTATCTCTCTTGCAGTAGGACGGTGTTAATGATTTTTACGTTAAAAACTTGATTAAAGTTATTGATTGTTAATTTATATGAATATTATGTAATATATGTATTAGGTTTAGAACAACAAGTCTATTTTGGATTCTATCCGAATTGAATCCGTAAAATAACCCAAAATCAGTTTAAAATCATTAATCCGAATTCAACCCGAGCCCGCCCGAATTAAACTCAGGCAGTGCTCGGATTGAGTTCCTCAATCCGAAGTAGGGTTAAGGTTAAAATTAGAGTTAGAGTTAAAATTAAAGATTATACAACTAAAATTAAATTAGAGTTGATTATCTATCCTATCTAACCTGCCCCAGTTGCCCCCTACTCCTTGATTCACTTTTGGGCTGATACTGGCCCATAGGGAGCTTGGAGGTCTGTGGTGTCCAACAGCAATAATCCCAAACCCAATTGCATAAAACAAAGGTTGCAATAATTTCATTACACGTGTTAACACGATTCGAATTTACAATAATATGTAGATACAAGCAATTAGTAAAAGACATGAAGTTGAAAATTAAATAAAATCACTGACACGAATTACAAATTGAACGAGTCAGTGCCAAATAAAATTAATATGATTTTAACATGACAAACTATTTTTTTTTATTTTTAATCTACCATTATATGAATCATATAGAATTAGAGAATTTTTAACTTTGCTTTGTGAACATCTTTTTAAGTTTATAAGAGGCTTGTAGGTGACTATTTTAACTTAGATAATACACGATTAATAAAAAATATTATATTAATATCAAAATATTAGACAAGATTAACTAAAATTCAGTATTGGATACAAAATTAAAATGATACAAGATGAAAATAACACGAAAATTGATCTCCACACACATTCACGGGCTAATTGCATTTTATAAACAAAAAGATTTTAAAATTTTCATTTTATGCCTTTAAAAATTAAATTTTTTATACTATATCCTTAATAAATAAAAAATGTTATAATGTGATCTTCTTTTAGTTTTTCGTTAATTTTTTTATCAGCGTCAATGGGTTAAATTTTGACAAAAAAAATAAAAAAAATTAATAACAGGATCACATTATAACACTTTAAATATATTAATAATGTATTATAAAAATGTAATTTTTAAGGGTACAAAATAAAAATCTTAAAATATTTTAGAGCGTAAAACGCCACATTTGTAAATGTAGTGAGTCAAGCTCAGTAAAATCATGGGCTTTTACTTAAATCTAGTTGGGTTACCAAACCACAGAAGATTGGACCGTAAAAACAAGTCTTTTTTTTTAGAGAGAGGGAGAGACATTCAACCCAGCACCAACACAATTTGGCTTGTATGCGGTTGGAGAGTTACCGCATAACATGCGGTTTAATGAAACGGTTGCGTTTCACTGTGCTTTTAGCTCTTTTTTTTTTACTTACCCTTACAAAAACGACGTCGTTTTTGTCCAACTAAAAATCAGATTTGAGACCCTTCTCTTACCTTCGGCTTCGTCTCAGACGCTCCTCTCTCTCTCTTTTCTCCTACCTCCGACGACAAAAAAACTCATGTATAGGTTCCTTCTGTCGATATAAATTTAAATAAGAATGTTCTCTGTTACAGAGGAAATTTTCCAGAAATGTGGTTGTCCTCACAACTTCTGGGGGGACAGTGGAGTTTATTGTGAAGTGTTCAGATTCTCTGCTAGTCGTTCATAGTAGTCTTTTCCATCTGTTGTATTTAGCTTCTATAGAGATTTATTTTTCTCATTACATTTGGATTGATTGAACATGAACTCTTGTGGTAATGCCCATTTGCTTTGATGTAGACCAAGAGGACGAAGAAGGCTGGTATTGTAGGGAAGTATGGTAAGTTTCAATGTTGCCTATTTAATTATGTTTTGTGATTTTGCCATCCATGTGTTCACTTAACAATTATGCTTCAAGATTGATGCATCTGCCTAGACCAACCATCCCAATTTGAAGAAAATGTTGCTTCTGAGGATGAGAAATGTAATTTTGATGTTGAATATCATTTAAAATTTGTCTCTTCTATCATTATGTATGAGAATTTGAAGTTTGACTCCATTAAAGATATTAATTGTCAGATAGAGAGGTGACACTTAGTCTTAAAATAGTCCAAGGCATAAAGTTTTTGTACAATTTTATCTCATTATTTTGAGTTGCATTGCTCTTGCAATATTAATGTGCAGTATTGTTGAGTATTGGGCTTAATTAGGATCATGATAGATTGAGGTCCTTAAAACAAGTCATGAAAATTGAGGTTCACAGATAAAAGTTTTATGAATTTAGAAATACCTAAGTAGCTCGATTTCAACTTTAAGGGTTCAGCTCATTACTTGTTTTAGTTCAAGTATAAAACATTCTTGCTAGTATTCCAAAAGGAATCTGACTTTCACGGTCTTGACTTTCTGTACATGTTTCTTGTGTTATATCATATATGCAACTCATTGCGATTTTAATTTATCTAGTTTCCTGTTATGGGAATTTCAGAATGCATGTACTTCTTATGATATGTCCTTAGTTCTATTACGATGATCAAATTGTATCTTGCACTTTAGGGGTTTCACTTTGCTGATTGCCACCATTTTCAGGAACTCGTTATGGGGCTAGTCTGCGAAAGCATATTAAGAAGATGGAGGTCAGTCAGCACAGCAAGTACTTCTATGAATTTTGTGGGAAGGTATAGCCTTTCTTAGTTACAACAAGTTGTGCTACCAAGTTCACAAATATTTTTGTTGTGTAAGGCCTTTTCCTAGACATTTCTGGCTGCATCCACAATTCCACATCCTCAGTCGTGAGATTAAGTACCCCCCAAAAAAAAAAAAAAAATTTCTTCTTTTAGAAGGGGTTGTGGCTGCTGCCAAGGTACCTGAGCATTTTCGCCTTGTTCTGCTTAGCTTTAGGCAATTGTGCATCACTTACCTTTTTTAAGGGCGCGTCTCTTGTTTTAATTGAAAATGTAATTGTTTGCAGTATGCGGTGAAGAGAAAGGCAGTGGGTATTTGGGGTTGCAAGGATTGTGGCAAAGTCAAAGCAGGCGATGCTTACACATTGAAGTAATGATCCTATAAGACTTGGTCTTATTCCCACCGCTTCTCAGCGAGCTATTAATGCATTTTTTTGTTGCTCTTGTTTTTTTTCAATGCAATAGCACTGCTAGCTACTAATTTCTTGTTTTGTTTCTCTTCTTTTTCAAATGCAATAGCACTGTTAGTGCTGTTACAGTTAGGAGCACAATTCAGAGGCTGGGGGAGCAAATCGAGAGTTGAGCTAGCCATGGTCCTTCCGACGTTGATTTTGATACATGTTTACTAAGTCTTGGAATCAGACTTTGGTTTCTGTCATTACGATTTTAGAATTTTTAAGAAATCAGACATTAGGCCAATGTTTTTGTTCAGACAATTATTGCATTTTTCTGATGAGCGGTACAGGTTCTAATTGCATTTAGAGTTTGGTTTATCACCGTTTACTTTTGTTCTTTTAATGTTCTGTGGAATAACTGTAATTTTGAGTCTATCTTCCAAAGGGGAGTTCTTGATTGCACCTTTCATGAAAGATTAAATAAATTGGAATTGCTGCCTTATGTTTCTTTTTTTTTTTGTATCCCACGTGTATTTGAATCATACTAGATATGGTGACTATTAATGGTTTGAGAAATGCTAGTGGGCAAATGGTCTGACCTAAATTGTAAACATCTTACTACATTGGGATATAACAAGCACCAAGGTTCTCTCTTTATGACTGACTACGCTCTAATAATCTCAAACAGTAAGCCGTATTGATATGGTTTGTGTTGCCACGTTGGGTTAATGATTTTGCGAGCATTTTGCATCCGGGAACTTTGGAAATAAGCTGTTCAACCACTGAGAGAGACCAAACATCATCAAGAACAACAAGTGTTCGCGTAACGGTCTTCAAATCATATTTTAGTGGCCATTGGGGAATCAAACCACTGCAATCATCAATACAATTCCTTTATATCATTCTCCAAATCTTTAGCCTTAGCCTTAATTGATATGGAAATACTTAATTGCGAATTTGATTGTCTCTACAAATCTCCCTGACCAAAGTGGTCTTTCCATTTCCACTAATCCCACAAATCCCAACAACACCCAAATCGTTCCTCCTAATCACCATCTCCTTCACCTTCCTCTTTGCCATCTCCATCTCTGCCCTCACACCCAAATTTACCAAATCACCCTCGTGCCACTTCTCTTCTTCCTCCACCCTCCCTCATGAACCCCCATCTCCATCACTCCAAGCCGCTGCTCCAACCTCTGAGCCGAACCCTCAAGCCGATCAAACCTCTTCGTCGAATCGAACCTTAGATGATGCACATGAGCTTGCACAGTAGTTTGCAAGAACCTTGAAATATTCTTTTCAAGCTTCTCCATCTTTCTCGCTAACTGTAAGTTCTTGTACACGTTCCAGCGGTTGGAATTGAGGACTTTTCCGGCGAGCTCAAGGCGGGAGAACCAGACCCGACAAAGAAGAAGCTGGAGAAAGAAAAGGGAGGGGGTTTAATGTTGATTTAAAGGATCAAAATGACATCGTTTTGTTAAGAGGAAATAAAAAAAAAGAAGCAAAAAGCATAGTGAAACGCCGGCCTTTCATTAAACCGCATGGTATGCGGTAACTTTCCAACCGCAGACGAGCCAGACCCCACGAACACAGGGTCCGGCTCCTCTGCGGTAAGGGAGGTTACAACATATCATGCCGTTTAATAAAACGACACCATTTAGTGTTCTTTTTACAATTTTTTTTTTAATTTTTCCTTACCAAAACGATGTTGTTTTGGTCTTTTAAATCGCCATCAAACCCCTCCCTTTTCTTTCTCCTACCTTCGCTATCGTCAAACGACTACTCCTTATTTCGGCTTCTCCTACCTTCACCATAGCCATAACTCTTATCACTTCGGCTTCAACGTTGCCTTCTTTCCTTCTCGAGGTTTGTGCTACTATGTTAGGTTAATGATTTTGCAAAAAATAGAGCTACTTTCAGATCAATCCCACGCCCAGACCACTAATACGCAAACACCACTTTAAGTAAATTGGCTTCAATTTCATACCCCCCACAGCTATACACCCAACTCCAATGTCTGATATCAATTTACACCTTGCCAACCACAACCTCTCCAAGTTCTTAGCCTCCGCAATCGCCACCGTTGCCAAGTCCATCAACTCAATCCCATTTGACAAATCAATCTCAACCAAAGCCGAACAGTTCATGACCAAACTCGACAAACCCACATTCATAAAAAATCTAGAACGTGAAAGATCAATCGACAACAGTGTAGATTTGTAAGTTGTAGACATAATAGAAAACATATCGTCCTCAATACATGGACAGTAACTGAGATCAATGCGAGATATAAAAGGGTATCTTTGCAGTGTTCTTGAGAGGAGATCGGTGCAAAGAGGCTTGAGGGTTTTGCGGTGACGTGATTCAATGGAGTGGAAGAATTTGCATACGAGAGAGAATAATTTTTTGCCTTGAGGATCGTCTCCAAAGCTGTCGATGATGGAGAATACGATGTTATCGGTGAGAGCTTCAAATGGGTTTGTGAGAGTGGTTTTCAGATGAGTTTGTGAGCTTCAAATCGTCTCCGAGGCCGATGATTTCAATTGTGGTTTTATCCGGACTAAAACGACGTCGTTTTGATAAGGGTCAATAAAAAGAAAAATCTAAAAATCAGTTAAAGGCCGCCGTCTTATACAACCGACATGCCGTGAGCTCCTTACCGCAGAGGAGCCGGACCCCACGAACACACCCTCTCTGTTCAACCAAAACACACAAGAAATTTCTCAGATCTTATCCTTTTTTTTGTCAAAATCAAGCAATCCGAACAATGTCTTCATCATTCAGCGGCGATGAAACTGCTCCGTTCTTCGGCTTCCTTGGCGCGGCTGCTGCGCTCGTCTTCTCCTGTAAACCCTAATCTTAGATCTCTACTCACCTATACGTGCAAATATATGTAACTCGTGTTTATATGCATCTATTTCCGTCCATTGTGTGTTTGTTGATGTAGATCCTAGATTATGATTGTTTGTGTGTGTAGGTATGGGGGCTGCGTATGGTACGGCGAAGAGTGGTGTAGGAGTAGCGTCGATGGGTGTAATGAGGCCAGAGCTGGTGATGAAGTCGATCGTTCCTGTTGTTATGGCTGGTGTGTTGGGTATTTATGGTCTGATCATTGCTGTGATCATCAGTACTGGAATTAACCCCAAGGCCAAGTCCTACTACCTTTTTGATGGTTATGCACATCTCTCTTCTGGTCTCGCTTGTGGTCTTGCCGGGCTCTCTGCTGGAATGGCTATTGGAATTGTTGGTGATGCCGGTGTCAGGTTTGTTGCTCTCTTGTTGGGCTTTTGATCTGCGTCATTCTTCAATGTTGTTGATTTGTGCTTGATGCATCTTAATGCTTGTTAGAAGCAATTGCATTGCAATGTAAAACTATTATCAATGCCATGGTCCCAAATACAATGGCTAAGTTTGCAAAAAGAATGGTGAGATTGATATTCAAGTTTCAAGGTGAGCAAGATTTTAGCATAGAGGAAAATTTAAAGAGGTTAATATTAAGTGAAGTACAGGATGAGGAAACAATGAAGAGGTGGAAAAATTATTTTGTGAAGTTATTAAACTAAAATAGGATGTTTAGGAATCGGGGAATGTACTAATTGTAGGGAAATAGGAGAAAATAAGTTTTTTTTGTAGCATTAGACTTTCCAAATTAAAGAATGCACAGACAAATGAGGATTGGAAACTGTGTGCAAAGAAAGGTAAGAGTGGAAAGTGTTAAAAATTTGATGGTATCCCTATTAAGATTTGGTAAAGAAAGATATAATAACTTGTAGTTTAATAGAAAACATGACCCTCAATAGTGTACAATGACAAAAGATTCATGTAGCGGACACCAAAAATATTAGGACTTTTTTTTGTTGAATTGAGTTGAGTTTTTATCCCTATTGAGATATAAATTTTTCAAGGAATGTTCATGTATCATGTTTAACTAAATAATTTGAACATATTATAACTATTAATAAACTGTTTGATGATTGAGGAAGTATTTTGGTACGAATATAGTTGCTCAAATTATCAAGACGTTAAATTACTAAGATATATAAAGAAACATTGGGGGAGAGAGTGATTGAGTGATGATTCAAATATCAAAATAATCGTAAATGAGAATCAATTTTGGTTTTTGTCTGAGAGGCTAACAATGTAATATATGTACTAGCTCAGGAAACTAGTATGGATATAAATATTGTGGGTATTAGAGAAGAAGGAAGTTATTAATAGGGGTGTTGGTTTGAGTAAAGATATGAACTAGAGTATAGTGACTTTAGTGAGAACAACTGTATAGAAGAGTGGTGAATTCTCAACTAGTGTAAGTTTACATCATAGTTTTGATTTAAGTTTGAGCTTTCATGGTGTAAATTATTTGTGGACGATACCTTAGTTGTAGTCAATGAATGAATTAACTAGACACACTTAGTTTGAGATTTCATGGTGTACATTATTTGCGGATGATAGGGTATTGATTGATGAATCTAAAGTAGAATTTGACAAAAAGTTAAAAGTTTGTGAGTAGCTTTAGATTCAAAACAATACTTAATGTGTACAACTACAAGTGAATGTATGAAATGTAAATTTAAGTAGAAATCCAAACAGATCAAAGATAGCAAAGAGTGAATACTTTCTATTTTTTAGGATAATTATCCATAGAGAGTGAGATTGAAGACGATGCTAGTCATAGATTGAAATCCAGATACAATAAGTAGAGGAGGTAATATGGTATATTGTGTGGTCAGCTCAAACATTCTAAGCTATGATAAAAGTTTCTAGACAGGCACTAAAAACAACCATGTTTTATGTTGGGGCTATTAGAAGGCAACAATCTTAAACATTAAGTATGGCGGAATCGAGAATATTAAGGTAGATATGTTGTAGATCAATTTGAAAGTGAATATATTTGTGAGAAGTAGAATATAACCAAACCACCAATCATCTTCCCCTCCTCCTATGCCAGAAACACCCCTGCCCCCAATAACCCACTTCCACCACAAAAACAATTGAAGTCAATGTCCCAATCCACCACCACAATGGAAAATTCTGCTTTAGATTCGTCGATTGAACCCTCTAATTGGACCTCATTATTGTTGACGCCAGCTTACCTTTATTCACAACTCCTGTCACAGAGGAATCTGTCATCCACCTCAACTTCAATCTCTTCTATTGATCCCACTTCTCCCTTTTTACCCCTTTACAACTTTGCCTCCTCCCTCAATTCCTAGTCCTGGCTTTTCGATCAGATTTTTCAAAATCCACATCCCCAATACAATGAGAATGATGACTTCAGCACCATCTCTCTCACCATGTGTCTTATGTGCTCAAAAGTTGAGATCTTGTATTCCCCCGGCCACTTGAACAATATCAAGAGATGGGCATCAATTTTGCTGGACTTAGGGTTATTGTTCTGTGCTGATTCAGTCAACCTTGTGCTGGAGGTTAGGGCCTTTGGAGTTGACGAGGACAAGGAATTCTGCAATAATATTGAGGCAAGCTTTGGTTGTGATGGTAATGGGAAGCTTTGTAATGTGCCTTAATTCAGCGGTAGTGGTGAATGGTGATAGGTTTGTTGGGTCCGAATAAGTGGTCGTGATGGTGGTAGTTGGACTATGTGTGGTGACAGAAGAAGAGGAATGAGGAAGAAGGAATTGATGAAAGATAGGCACTAAGGATAATGAGTTCATTTTGGCAGAGCCAATAACTGAATTAATTATTTGTACGGACCCAAAACTGCATGAGAGTTGTGTGGGTTATATTTGTAATACAGGGGATGCAATACTATATGGGCCAAACTATAAGTGAAATGGAATTGTCCAAAATTAATTATATGTGGTGTCAAATGACGGATAGAGTGAACTATGCTTGGTCTTGTTCAGGTTGAATTTTCTGTCCATTGTAATCATCTGCCCTGAATAATGTGTTATTTTGCAGAGCCAACGCACAGCAACCAAAACTTTTTGTTGGGATGATCCTCATTCTCATCTTTGCTGAAGCTCTGGCCCTGTATGGCCTTATCGTTGGCATTATCTTGTCTTCGCGAGCTGGCCAGTCCAGGGCAGAGTAAGCTGTTTGAGTAGTTTTTTTTCTTCTGAGTCCATTTATGGTATCTCGTGGGAGATAATCAACTGTGAAACATATTATTCTTCTCTGGATCACTTGAAAGTAACCCCCCCCCCTCCCTTTCCTTCTCCCCCTAACCCCATTCACGCGTGGTCCTTGGTGCTGTTTGTAGAGTAGTAATGAGTTTTTATGCGAATAAAAAAGCTTGTAAAGCTGTCTCTGTTGGGTTTTTGTCTAAATATGTATGTTGCAGTCATTACTTCAAACAGTGTGGAAAGTATTATTTGGAGTTATTGCCTGTATGATGTTATCGTTGATTTTATTCTGTTTTCCTTGACCTCAATAAGAAAAAGTCGTATCCAGTGCACAAACCTTGCCTATAGTGTTGTTATTCTTAGTCTTGAATCCATGGTGTAGTTTTTAGACGTATGAGCACTTAACATCGTTCATCGTTCAATGCTTGATCTCTCAACTGTCTCCCTTGCCATCTCTATCCACTAAATTGTTACTGAATGGCTCGTATATTTCTAGAGACCTTGTTAAGATGATGGATTCATTCATAAAGGTTGTAGCCTTTTGGAAATAATAGTTGATTGTCCTGATCTTTGGAGTTCTTCACAAGTCAATCACTGTCCCGAGAATCCCGACCTTGTGTTCTGAAGACTTTTGGCTGCTAAATGCCAACTTCATTGACCCCTGTTGGGTTGGTGATATTATTGTATTTCCAACGAGGGAAGAATTCCTTACAATTGTCATTACTTTTAACTAACTAGAGTTTTCAAATATTGACCGACCTTAATTTTATACGTAGATGACGTATTCGTATGATTTGTAATCTAGCTTGTGCTGTCACAGGAGTTGAACAACACTCCAACACACTCTCCCCCGGCAGGCCAACGTTATCGTAATGGGTGATCTTTCGGATATTGTCAAATTATGTTCTACCCTTAAACTGAATTCTGCTTGTCGAGCTAGCCGTTTTGAGTTGGCAATGGTCTGCAAACTTTTAAGTTCAAGCGAGTTAGCATAGCATATAAATATAACACTAATCGTATTGGAAAATAATTTTGGGACTTAATACATTATAATCATTGGATTGATAGTATTGGAATCTAGTGATAATTTAATGTTGGGATCAATTGATAATTTAATAGTCACAATTATTTAGTTTTTAAATTATATCTCAATAGTAGGGGTGTTCAAATTTTCGATTGGTCGCAAGTTCCTACCCTATCCTACTGAACGGCTAGTCGCAAAAATTGGGTAAGAATGCGGAAAAGTTTTTGGTCTTCCGATAATTTTCGAGTAAGAATGCGGAATAGCAATCCATTTCCTACCCTACTCTACCCGCAATAATTTTTTAATATATACATATATAAACTAAAAAAATCTTAAACTCTAGCGGAGAAATTATGATTTTAATGTATTTCATATGATTTAAAGTTTAAACTTAAATTAATTGTTATTGTATTTGTGTAATAATTATGGTGGATTGATGTTCATACTTTCTTGTGTTTTATTATAATTCTTGTTGTAGTTGTTTTAAATTTTAGTGTTAATTGATTTATTGTGTTGTTAAATTGGTGCATGTTAGACCAAGAAAAAACTCTTCCGCAAAGTATCGAGTAGGAAGACGAAAGAACATATTTCTTACCCGTAAAGTAGAGTGAACACCCCTACTCAATAATATTGTTTTAAATATAATTGTCTCGTTAAGAATTTATTTTTTGGATTGAAAGGAAAATAAAATCATACTACAAACTTTTAAGTCTAAGCGAGTTAGCATATAAATATAATTGTCTTGCTAGGGCTTTATTTTTTGGATTGAAGGAAAATAAAACAATATACTAACAAGTAGGAGGATAAGTTTTCCTCGCATCCAGACAAAAACACTGTATTAGTGGATCTTGTTAGGTCTTTTCGTGTTCAATCGAAGAAGACAGGACAAGAAAGGAGGCAACAGCTTGTCCATGTAGTTGATTGCCAGTGACTATGTCCAAGTGGCTACATGACTGATGGCATTTTGTGAGAGCACCAAGTTCTTAACAATGTTATCTGGATTTAATTGGGAGATCCTCTTTATATGAAAAACATAATTTATTGTAGTGATTAAATCAGCGACAAGTCTCAATGTTCAAAAAGATCCACTTTTTATTCAACAGATATAATGGATTAAATTATCAAACTAAAAGTCACTAAAACATATACAGGAAGCATTTTTCAATAGATAAATGAGTGTATTGAAAATGGCAATTTAATGCGAATGACTGCTGTCACTATAGGTCTAATGTTTGCAAAAAAAAAAAAAAAAAAATTGGTAACCCACGAACTTTCAACAAATGAGTCTATTTGGACCCGTGACCCGTTGTTAATTTGGGTTAACACGTAAAGTCTCCTCCCTACACACAGTGGTCAAAGAGTATTATTAAAATCTTGATCAATACCAATTTAAAATACCACTTAAACTAGCCCTTTTAATCTTACACAAATTTGTTATTTCTATGACTCAAAAACAAAACACTCAGATTATAAATAGAACAATCTTATCAATGCACGAACTCGTGTCATCAAACCGACAGTGGAACACTCGATGTGATATAAGCAAAGGCACCGAATCTTCTTACAAGGAGATCCAAAATTGTTAAGTTATAAATTTGTCATGCCATCTTAAACTACCTTTTAGTTCAGTGCTGCTGACCAAACACAAGTCTCGTGAAACAGCCAAATTTGTAGATAAGGTTTAATAGCACCCAACTTCGCTATTCATAATGGGGCATTACATATATATATTACATGTGCGTTTTGTCGTAGGTTAGAGCTTTCTATCTCTAAAAATTAGGTCATGGTTCGGACACAGGCGTCAGTATGGTGGAGCCCATGGCAAGCTCATGCCCTTTACGCATGAAATAGTTAGGTTACAGTCTCTTGGCTAGTCCACTATAGATTAAGATAAATTATAAATTTAGACGCGTTGAGTTTCAAATTTGACAATTTTTGAGGGTCAGATCTTTCAAGAATTTTCTAGTTTCGATATAGATAACTTACATTTGACCGAATCGAAGATAGAATTAATAAAGATGCATAAAGACTAACTCAAACACCCTGAACCACAATCCTTAAAAAAAGAAATAGTTAGGTGTTGAGCTCAGTCCTCACCTCATCGACCATGGCCATGTCTTTTCCCCATGCCACTTTGCTGGTCCTGCGTATTAACTACCGACAAAGAAGATCTCTCATGTTTGGTCATCTTGTTATCTACAACAGTTTTAGAAGAATAAATTATGAAACTGAGAATCATATTTCAGGGTTGTAATTTCAAGTTTATAATTTATTTATTTTTTTGGAAAGAGAGTTTTTTAAATTCGGTTATTCGATAAAAGGTTCTTAAATTCTAAATTTCCACCAGAAATATTGAAATTCTTACATTCTACCTTCAATCATATTAAAAATATAGCAATGTAGTCCAAAATCAAATATTCATTTCTTTTTTTGACAAATTTTTATTGTTTTATTTGTCGGATTTTCCAATTTTTATATTTCATTATTTGCATGATACTCTTTTTTTAAGTGTTTTTCACTAAAAATTCAGTCGTCATTTTTTTAAAAAAAGGAGCGTATATCTAATTTTTGTTTGATTGACGGTATAATATAAAATTTTCAACCTTTAAGAGTATAAAATAAGAATACGAAGATCTTTCGGGATGTGATGTGTCATTTACTCTTGCATGGTTAAGTTGATGCATAGGCTTTGCTGGTATGTGAATGTGCAAGGGAGAATCAAAAGTCATCGGTGCTAATCAAAGGGTATTAGTTCATCAGGTAACTAAATATTAGGGACAAATAATTTAATGATTAGCTCTCATTACCGAGTCTGGATCCTCTGTAGTACAGCACTGATACTGTTGAGGAACAGTACCACTATAGTATAGCAGTGATCTGTTTCTATGGCATTAGAGCAACTCCGAGGGGCGGCATATGGGGGGTGGCAACCCCATATGCCACCCCAAATTCAAAATTTTGGGCTCTATGGGGGTGGCATATGGGTTTAGAAAATAACATCAAGGCTTTTGGCGTGACATTTTTGGCAATTCTAGATAGATAAAGGAAGAGGTTGTAAATGTGTTGATGAATATAGATCTAACGATTCATATAGATTAATGAATAAAAATATGAAAATAACACCCTATTTTAACACCTACCATTAAAACAGATTTATAATTTAAGGGTGTCAAAACACTGTTCAAAACTACAAATAAATAATTTGACACTCCAAAATAACAACTCATTTGGAGCTGCTCTTACTCATATAAAAAGGACATTATTTTAAAGAACAACATCACTATTGTACGAGAGAGATCGGTTTCCATAGCATCATTACTCGTATAAAAACCGCAAAATAACTAAATACAAGTTGGAGAGAGATGAAGTGTGTGGCTACTTTTATCCTGTTATTACATGGGAAAGCATAAAGGATTGCCTGCCACTGCTGCCCTTAGCTAGTTTGTTGTCTCTTTCCTAACACACTTTCTATATGAATGCTTCTTCATGAGGTCATTAAAGGGTAAAGTGAACTTCCTCCAACGGCACTATTTTATAAAAAGCCCAAACACAATGATCTAACTAACCTCACCTACACATAGTTCATCTCCTCCTCTCAAGGGTTTTTTTTTTTTTTTTTATAGGGTGCAGAAGTTTATACCGATTATTTCATCAAGTTCAAATTATGATCATGGTAATCCAAGCAAGTTTTGAATCATATCCTCCTCTCGGATTGTTGAGTATTTGCCTTGCAACTAATTAACTACCTGCCCAAGTCTGTTAAACGAACCAATTTAAATTTAAGTTGAATTTCATTGGATTTTAATTTGCTCAAACTCGCTCATATTTTTAAAAAAAAAACAGAATGATATTTTCTAAATTTATTTAATATTCAAGCCCAACTTAACTAATGAGCTACTGGGTTTGATGATCCAGAATGCTCTTTTCCCTCCTACATTGCCAACATCTCTCCCTCTCTCTCTCTCTCTCTCACACAAACACACACATTCTAATAAAATTTCCACTGTTTCTGTTTTTCCCCCCTTACAAAACACCATTTGAAAGAAAAGTTCACTAGAACAGCATTATTAATAAGAAGAATTAAAATAAATATGTAATTAAACAAAAGAAATCATCGGAATAATGTTATGAAAGTAAGTGATAGAAAATCTTATTCTTTTTCAGATTTGCTGGTTATTGAATTCACAACTTATAATATATCGATTGAGCAAATCAAACCGTAACGTCTTTATAGACCTAATCTCTAAGGATATCTCTAACAAGATTTTGTATTTTAACTATCCAAAAGTAAAATTTTTTTTATTTTAGCTACTTATTTTTTCAATCCACACTCTAATAGATTTTCTATATTTTAACTACTTTTTTAAATATTAATTCTCATATTTCGTACATTTGTTGGAACTATTAGAGAGAAAGAAAAATAATGAAGGAAAAGACAAAGAGTGAATAAGAGTGATGAGAAAAGAT